TAATATTATATATAATATAATATAATTTATAATATAAATTATAAAAATTTAATATATTATATAAATATATATAATATATATTTATATTATAAATTACGATATAACTGTAATATCCATCTATCTATCTATCTATCTATTATATATTTTTGTTCAATAATTAGTAGGCTAATTAAATTCTATTAAATTTTATATTATAACATAATATTATTTTGTAATTTTGAATTACAAACTTTCTAGTAATAATTACTTGATATATTTAAACAAAATAATGTATTATATTATATATTTGTGCATATACATTATGAAAACGTTTATATATAATATTACTTTGATATTAATGCTATCAAACAAGTCAAAAGAGTTATTGTTATTCCTCTTGTGAATCCCTTGTTATTTATCAACGTTTAACTCTTGATATTTATAAAGTATAAATGTATTGACGCGAAACTTAAATGGATCATAAGAGTAAGAGTCATTTAGTTCGTGACTTTCGTGCTAGTAACAGACAATAGTGTGTTCCACAGTAACAAATATATAATTCAACTCAAGTTAAAACTTCTCAATCATTCAAATAATAATAATAATAATAATAATAATAATAAATAATAATAATAAAAAAGAAAAAGATTGATTACTGTGAGATTTGTTTTTGTTTGACAAGAATTATGGAAGTGGAATTGAAGATTTGGCATAGACCAAAAGTGTTCAACCTTTCCAAGTGGAAACTCCAATCGAGACATTGGAAATGGTTCAAGGTTCATTTATCAAAATGATCTACGATAATATATTTCTTTTTTTACGAATGCACTTCTTTCTTTCCTTTTTTTTTTTTTTTTGTTTTTTTATCATTGGTACTATTTAACAATTTTAATATCCATTAAATGGAAAAATTATGAATCAACAATTGACATTAAGAAGAAAGGGGGTCAAGTCAATAAAATATCAATTCCTTTTTACTTTCTTTATATTTTGTATTATTTTCTTTTTGCTTTTGATTAGATACCAAAATTATAATTTCAATTACGACGACTCGTTCAATGATCATTTTCATATCATACCAATAAAAAAAAATAATAATAAAAAAAAAAGTATTCAAAGCTATAGTATTCTTATTTTATTATTGTTGTTGTAAACCGTGATAAGATATATACTGCTGTATCGAATAAATATAGAAAGTAGAATATATATGTCGTTATGTATAATTAAATGATTAATTAAACATTATTTTGTTGTTTCATTGGAATGTTTACAGTCGTCACAGAACAATTCTCCAAGTACTGGAGTTGGAGAGAAAAGGGAGCATTTGTACAAAATCTTGGTGATCGGTGAATTAGGTACAGGAAAGACATCAATCATCAAGAGATACGTTCATCAATTTTTTTCACAACATTATCGTGCCACGATAGGGGTTGATTTTGCATTGAAAGTACTCAATTGGGATCCTCATACCATCATCAGGCTCCAATTATGGGACATCGCAGGTAAGAATCAACTTTTGATCAATTCTTTATTGTATTATTTTTCATAACAATAATAATAATATTAAATACATGAATTTATAATGAACTGTTTCAGGTCAAGAAAGATTTGGAAACATGACAAGGGTATATTACAAGGAAGCAGTTGGTGCTTTTATAGTATTCGACGTGACGAGAAATTCAACGTTGGATGCGGTGGTCAGGTGGAAACAAGATCTCGAGTCGAAGGTACGATTACCGGATGGATCACCTATACCTTGTGTACTTTTAGCAAATAAGTGTGACCAACAGAAGGAGGGTCTTGTAAATTCACCTAATAAAATGGACGAGTATTGTAAAGCAAAGGATTTCGTTGGTTGGTTTGAAACATCTGCCAAAGAAAATATCAATATTGAGGAAGCTGCAAAGTTTCTCGTTACTAAGGTAATTGTTAAGTATTATATTATTATTATTATTATTATTATTATTATTATTATTATTATTAACACGTCAACTGTTTTAGTTACGTGATTATTAACGAGTACGTTAAATATCACCTTTTATTAATTTATGTAAGGACGCGTTGCGTAAAGTTCTTTTGCACAAGACAGGAGGAGTAAGATCAACGTGATTTTTATTTAATATACGTAGTTGCATCCCTCCCTCTTTCTATCTTATTCTATCTTTCTTACTTTACCTTTTTTTTTTCTTTTTTCTAACAATTATTGAATTCACATTGATTATTCTACGTTGTATAATATATCTGTCGTAACTTAATAGGTGACATCATGTATATAATGATATACAACCAACACCCTTATGGGATGTTGTTTACTTAGTCAGCAATTTAACATAGTTGACAGGTACATAGTTTTCTTTCTTCGCATTTTCAATCTAAAATGTTTAATATAACGAGTTATTATAATGTCGAATAATTATATGTTTATATAGAGAATAATATTAGGTAATCGATCAAATATTATATAGGTGCAGCTTTTTAATTGATTAAACAAATATGAATCATTACAACGTCTCTGACACAAAATTTTTTTTTTTTTTTAAATTATATAAATTTAATTATAAATTAATTAATATTAAATTTTGTTTATATTTGTATCTACTTTTTTGTTTGTTTCAGATACTTCAAAACGATCAAATAATGAAAGGCAACGAATCGCAAGATCAAAACGATGGCGAAAGATTTGCGTTAAATCAATCACCGGTTAGTTCGAAGAAATCATGTTCTTGCTGACGATATGAAAATAATTCTTTGGGAATTTAAAAGCTTCTTTTTTTTTTTTTTTTTTTACACAAGTCGGTTATAAACAATTCTTTCTTCCTTCTTTATTGTTCGTCGTTGTTTGTCTTCGTCATCGTCGTCGTCGTTGTCGTCGTTGTCGTTGGATCAACGTTTTTGTTAATTTAATCTCCGTTAATTCATTTTGTTATTAAAATTACATTAAAACAAAATAAGTATATAATATTATAGAGAAGAAACGTATATTATTAAAAACAAATAAATCAAGAAAGGAAAGATAAAAAAAAAAGAAGAAACACGCGATCGATCGGTATCGTTTTATTATCAAATTATTCAAATCTTTTTGTTCAATATGGCTTCACTCTTCTCTCAAACGAGAAATAATATTCCTATAGTGTATGTACATATACATACATACATTTATATATGTATATATACATAAAAATATCTATCTAGATTATAGTATTTAATCGATAGAGACTGAAACAGCGCAGCAACACGTTATTTCTCTTTATTCAAGAAAAAAAAAAAGAAATAGAAAAAAAGAAAGTAAAAGAATTATTATAAATTAATATAATTAATAAAATGATCTAGGTAAACTAGAGAATCTAAAAGAAAAAAAGAAAAAAAAAAACAAACAAAAAATATAATAACAAATAACATTCCACATTATTTCTATAATATAATTAAGTAAAGTTAAGATTTTGAATAAAAGCCTAATATATACCATTGTGATTAGAATTAGTATGCGATTTAAATCTAGAGTAGTTTTTAAATAGACAGCTTAGTTATTATTATTATTATTATTATTATTATTATTATTATTATTATTATTATCATTATTATCATTATTATTATCGTGTTTAAGAATTTTTTCTCAAATGAGATAAGTATGAGATAAGTACGTAATAATGTAACAATAATTATAAAAATTAACAATAATAACAACCAACAATAACAACGATGACGACGACAACGACGACGACGATGATGATGATGATGATGATGATGATAATAATGTTTCTAGCATTAGAAAAAAAGAAACAATACAAAAAATATTCTTTTTCCAATAATTGTTAAACACCATAGTACCCTAACGGCGAAGTGTCATTTAATGATGCACAAACACAACCAAACAAATAAACAAAAACAAACAAAGTAAGAAATTCGCAGAACAGTGAGTGAGACAAATTTATTTGTCTGTAATTGTTTGAATTCAATTTCAATCGAATGAAATTCACACATACTTATATTGGCTTTTAGCGTTTTTCATCGACATAATATTCTAATTGTAATTCTAATTAATAGTGCCTTTTTCAAATCGTTTATAACAGTTACAGTTATCATGTTGACTGTTGTAACGTACAAACGAAGAAATGCGCTTCGTCCTGGGCTGTATGCTGCAATATATCATCAATTAATTAATTAATTAATTAATTAATTAATTGATCAATAAAACGATTAATCAATTATGCAATCGAATGAAATAATTAATTAAACAATATATAATAAAGTAAATACATTTTCAAGTCTAATTCTATTAGGAAAGTAACTCTTTTTTTTTTTATTTTTTTTTTTGTCAATCGGATTTCTCTTTATGAAATTTTAATTATTGTTTGAAATAAAGTAGTTTAACATTTTATCTTTTTCTGCATAATATAATAAATTTATAGATACACTAATATTATTAATATTATATTATTGTTGTTATTATTATTATTATTATTATTATTATTATTATTATTATTAATTATTATTATTATTATAATATTGTAAATAATGCGTATTTTACACGTTAGGACACACTTTTTATTAAATCTAACGACTAACTAACTTTCCTTATAAAAATCGTTTGCACTTTTATACTTAGCGAACAAGCAAGCAAGTTTATTATAAAAAATATATATATATATATATATATATATAGATGAATTTAAGTTGCGATTAAAAAATGAGAGATAATTATTAAAATAAAATAATTATAAAAACAAAAAGAAAAAGCAATGAAAAGTGTAGTTGAGTTGTTGTTTTCGTTCATTTCAAAAATCTCATTAAATCTTCAGTGATAAATGCCCAATAGGTCTTAAATCATTATAATAACATTGAATAGTATTCAAAAAAAAAAAAAAAAACTATAATAAATAATGAAATTTTAATCTACTAGTCGTAAAGATAACATTTGTTAATGTCGACAGAAATTTGCTTAAATAGTGATAACAATGATAAGAATGAGAAATTCTTCTTTACAATTAGATTCTCACGTCGTTTGTGAAGATTTGAAATCGTTAGTATAATTTAAAACAAACGTTTCACGATTGTTAAAGATTCATTTTAACATGGAATTGATTGTCGATAATCAAGAAAAGATTACGTTGTCTTGGGAAAATGTTACTGTTAGTATTAACGATCGAAAAGAAACATTTATTCGATCCATTTGGTCTGATATTATGAAAAGATCGCGTATTAAGAAATTAGAAATATTAAAGGAAGGTAGTTATATTAATTTTTTGTTATATTGTTCATTTTTTTCTTTTTTTTTGGAATTAAACACGTTAATTAACACATTGTTTGGTTCATTTAATAATTCAATTAATTGTAGTATCCGGTTATGGAGAAAGTAATAACATGATTGCTATAATGGGACCAAGGTATGTAAGATTGGATATGTTTAAATAATAATAATAATATATATATAATGTGTGACTATGTTTATTATAGTGGAGCTGGAAAGACAACTTTGTTAAGTACGATTGCAAAAAAAATTCAATTGACCAGTGGTAGTATAAAAATAAATGGATCAGACCTTTCTAATACTACGATGTCACAAATTTCAAGTTACATGGGTCAATTTAATCCAATGTTTGTTGATCTTACTCCTAAAGAACATCTTATGTTTATGGTACATATTTATAATACGTTCGATTAAACTTTTTCTTTATTAAAAATAAAAATATAGATTTATTTTCGAAGTTATTTTTTGTTTTTTTTTTGTTGTTGTTTAAATAGTGTGCATTAAAAATGGATAAAAGCAAAAGGTATTGCGAATTTAATGTTAAATCTGATGAACTTTTATACGAATTTGGATTGTACGAACAGAAAAATAATTTAATCTCTAAATTGTCGGCTGGCGAAAGAAAACGATTATTTCTAATATCCGAATTAGTAACAAGACCTAAGATTATTTTTTTAGATGAACCAACAACAGGTAATCTGTATATAAAAACGAAATATTATTTCAATAATTAATATATATATATATTATTAATAATTATTATATTTAATTATAATTTATTTATTTATAATTTATTATATTATATTATATTATATTAATA